AATTCGATAATTGTTCGTTCATCATCAAAACTTTTCCTCCAACCTTCAATAATCATCCAAATTTCTTCAACTAAACCGGAATTTCTTTGCTGTTCATGAAATTGGAATCAGAGTTCTGGACTCGCAATCACAGTCGACATTGAGGGACTTAGAATCGATACTCACAGGTTCCCAATCGGATTTTCGGAAATCAAAATCAAATTGAGAAATCGATTAGAGATAGGATGTCGCATCTGAAGTCGAAATCGGAAGTATAAGATGATTTGGAATTGATAACTTGATGTTTTTAACATTTTTAAAATAGTTAACTTGTTTGCACTCCAACTGTTTGATGAAATGCATAAACTAAATTACCACGTTATATTCACATATGAATATGTTTTCTCACCTGAATCAGTATATGATTATTAAAAACACAAAATAAATATGCAAGTCTGTATGTTATTCATATGTGAATAACATATAAAAATTATATATATTTGTCAAAATACCTTCAATATTCATAAGTGAATATACCTTGTAATATTCATATGTGAATATACTGTGTAATATTCATAAGTGAATATATCATCTAATAATCACAAGTGAATATACTCTGTAATATTCACATGTGATATACCATGTAATACTATGTAATATTCACATATAAAATATCATTTAATACTCATAAGTGAATATACCATCTAACATTCACAAGTGAATATACTATGTTAATATTCACAAGTGAATTTATCGTCAAATATTAAAATATGAATATACTATGTTTATTATATGTTATATTCATATATGAATGATACTTAAATTGTAAAATAAAAAAATCATACTTTTTATTCATAAGTGAATAACGAATGTACTGTAATAAAACATGATGCATTATTATTCATTTATGAATAACGATAGCTGAAAATATTAAAAAAAAATTTATTTTATCTTAAAACTATATCAATATGGATGTCTATTTGTAGAGAATAAAAAAATCATGAATTTTGGTATATTTAAAATCATTTTTTTTGATAAAAATAGCTTATAAAAATTAAAAAAAAATGAAAAAAACAATGTTTTTATATATATTAAGGTAATGATTAGCATATATATATATATATATATATATATATATATATATATATATGTATATATACATCTTTACTATCTTATAAAAGAAATCTAATTATTTCTAAAAATAGATTGATTATAATAATAATATTTTTTAAGACGTCCAAATGATGAAGCTGATAGAACAAGTAATCATTAATAAAATAATATTAAATTTTAACCATATTTTGAATTCAAATATTTATCATCTAATCTCCTTATATTTCTCAACAATTTGATATGGTTCCCTCAAATCTCGGATTTATTCAAATTTTGAACCCTTTTAGATATCCTTAAATTTAGTATGTTGATTTAAATATCCCTCCAATCGCATATACCTCTTTGCTCCCTCCTCTGCTATAAAGCCTACCGTCCAGGAACAAAAAATGACTTTATTTCCCAAATAACACCATAGTTTGATTATTTTGTTTTCGACATGTACTTTCTTTTGTAACACAATATTTTTGTAGAGGAAACATATCACTGAAAGAATTTACACGCCCTGCCGCTTTGCACGGGTACACTGCTAGTATATATATATATATATATATATATATATATATATATATAAAGGGGTCGAAAGAATAGATGGATGAGAGTGAAGAGTCTGATGATGAAGGAGAAGATGATCATAACGAAAGTGTGCCCAACAATTTTAGTGATGGTCCTAATCAATATGGTGGAAGATAAGATGAAAATAATAATACATCGGAGAACACGAATTTTAATAACAACGAACTTTTTAATATAATACAATGTGATTTTAAATTAAAGATGCATTTAGAACCGCACATACCTTAAGTGGTCCTAATTTAGAAAGCTCATTTAGGAAAATAATATCTCCTCGTTTGTTAAACTCACTTTTTTTTACACAAATTGATGAATATAACAACAAAAATAATGAAAATTGTAATCCAAACCTTGAATTATGAAACATTCCCAAATTAGTTCGTCGTATTTCATAATCCTTTTCCGCATTCCACACATATATAAATATCTACTCTCTAAATAAAAACTTTTATAGAAAAAACTAATGAAACTAACATGGTTCGTTGAATTCATGTATTTTTAAAAAAACTACAAATCTCAAGTTTAAAATTTCTTAAAATTTCCCTAAATGGCGCTCCAATAGGATACAGGGGTGGACGCAGGAATGCATAGTCGGTGTTGTCAGGATGAAATATGTGTTACCGATACATGAAAAATAGGTAAAAAAAATCAAAAATATTTCCATTACGGACAGAAAAATTAGGTGTTAGGATATGAGCTCCATCTATATAGGATTAGACCATAGAAAAGGGTCCAAGCCGTTTTCCTGGAGTACAAAACAATCCATTACAAAAATATCACAATAAGGAATCAAAATTGTCGCACTTAATTATGTCTCACTTATATCGTCGTTACTATAGAGATGTAGTCGATAGTAAGTAGTATTGTCGGCATTGCTTGCTGTTGGCCCTATAACACTACATGAATAATGACCATTAGTGGCAACAGACGTCGCCGCTAAAGGTCCCGATTGTCGCCGCTAATACCTTTAGCGGCGACCCGTTGCCTCTAAAGGGTTGCCGTTGTTGGTTCGTTAGTAATACTCCATTTGTCGCCGCTAATACCTTGTCGCCACTAATACTTTCCGTCGCAACTAAAAGTGTCGCCGCTAATTGTAGTTTTTTTTTTTTTTTTTTTTTTTTTAAACATTATTTCCATATACAAAACCAACGTTATAAAATTATAAAAACTATTATAAAAATATAAAAACTTTATAAAAACATATAACCAAAAGCACATCTATAAAAAAAACACATCCATACATACATGATACACATACAAAAACATATAAATACATACATGATAAACATACTAATACACAAATAATACATAATACATACACACACACACACATATATATATATATATATATATATATATATATATATATACACACACACGCATACTAATACACAAATACATACATTATACACATATAAATACACATATATGTACAAAATACACATTCTACATACAAAATTTAAAATAAACATATATAGAACATGTGGTAGTGTGTAATCTGGTAAAAAAACATGGTGGTGATAAAGAGAAATGAGTTTATAGAAGAGTGAAGAAGGAGTCGAAGGGAATTAGCAGCGACAGATAGAGTATTAGCGGCGACATATAAGGTATTAGCGGTGACACATTTGGAGGGAATTTTGATGATCAAAATTTTTAAGTATTATCGGCGACAACTTTGGGGGGAAACTTTGGCGATCAAAATTTTCGAGTAAGCGGCAACATCGTTGCCGCTTTCTGTATGTACGTTATCGATTTTCAGTCCTTGGATTAGGGACAATATCAACGGCTAAGGTTTCACCCCATATTTCGATGCGGATCGTGGTCGATAGGCGTTAGCGGCGACAGCCACCTTTAACGGCAACCCATACCGCGAAAGTTATGTGTCTCCGCTAAAGGTGGATGTGGCTGCTAATGCCCATTATTCTTGAAGTGTAACCCTATTGATGTGGTGCCTATTGTTTTTTTTTTTTTTCAAAATTGTTTTTTATATAATACAGATACACTGTTTATCCATATATATAAAATACAGATAAGGTGTATTTTATATAAAATACGACTAGATATTATTTTAGTTTGTTTGTTACACAAAAACCATAATTAACAGTAAATGAAACATACAACTACTATTTCATTATCACTGTCCTCATTCGCTTTTTTATCATCATTCCCTTTTTTATCAGTGTGTGTGGATAATAATCGAAATTATTTCTAATGTTGTCAGTCTAAACGCATAATGCACAAAAAAAAATGGACTACGAAGCAGAAATGTGAAATGATGAGTCATAAAACATAGTACATGTTTTGCTAGAATTATATTTTCTTTATTTCCTTTTATTAAATATAAGTTATAACTTCCTCGTATATTTAGATTGCACGAAGAAGATGTAAACTATATTTAGTAAAGCTGTAAAGGCAATAAACAAAAGTTAATTAATTAGTTGACGGGATACAAGGTTTTATGCTTCAACATTTTCCGATTCTATTTTGTATATCTATTCTTTATTTATTTTACATAATATAAATAAAGATTATTAACATAAATGATTAATTATAATTATTATATTCAATTTTAAATAAATCTATGATGCAAAATAGATTTTTTTTTTCAAAATTCAAATCTAAAATAACAACTACAATTATATCTAGTGTATTTGAGAAAATATGTTGATGGACATATTAATCTATCACTTTGGTATCTTACTTAATCCACTCTAATTACTTACTTCACGGTTTTTTCCCTCTCTTCACGGTTAGCATTGATTTTCATCATAAAGAAGCCGTTTTATAATTAATGTTCACATTTCATTTTACAAAGGAACAAAAGTAGAAAAGAAAACAAACCATGCAAAAACATAAACATGATGATGGACTTCCAAGTTTCAACACATTATGTACAAATTAAAGAAATATTAATCTCCTCAAAAATTAACTTCACAATATAATATATCCATTACAAAAATAGACAGTAGTTATGAACTCAAATAATTTGAAAGCAAACAATACAAAAGACGAATCTAATCTTAAAAGTGATCATTTCTTTCGTGACTCTAAAGCAGTAGCGTCCATGTCTCCTAGCAAATACGGCATCAATAGGACCGGTGGTTCTTCCAAATCAACATATTCCTCTAACTGTCGTCCACCTAATTTTGCCAGTTGATCCGCACAATGATTGCCATTTCTTCTTGTATGAATCATTGTACACCTTTATTCTATCATAATCTTCTTCATAGCCCCCATAACAGATTTAAGCCAGTGATGATCATGATCTTGCACCCCAAGCATTAGAACCCCTTGGCAATCTGTCTCGATCAATACCTTTGACATATTCTTCTTTTTTATTAGACATAACCCTTTGAAATGCTCCAAACTTCAGCCTCCAAACTTGTATATGATCTACCCTTCATTTTCCCGATATACCCGCACAACCATCTTCCATTACCATCTCTTATTAAACCCCCAATGCTTGATGGACCTGGATTCCCTTTTGAACTCCCGTCAGTGTTTAACTTGAGCAGATTATACCGTGGGGGTGACCAGGTGGATTTCATAGCCATGATTTCTCTGTATAGATTCAGATTGCACTTTTCTTGTTGCTGAAGCAGAAACTCATGATGACAGGTGGATTGCATAGCTATGATTTCTCTGCATAGATTCAGATTGCAGTTTTCTTGTTGCTGAAGCAGAAACTCATGATGACATTGTGGGCATGATGGAGGTCGGAGATGAGGGGCGTGTAGATGGATACGACCAACTGTAATCGGCATGAATAGTAAACCCATTGTAGTTTGCGTATCTTCGGTGAGATTCAACGATCTGCGAGTGAACAAGAAAGAAACTGATGTATCTGTCTATATGAGACTTGGGTACTAGGGTTCCGAGGCTTTAAATAGGACTTTTTTACTTCGTTGCCAAGTTTCATGCAAAAAATCCGAATTTTCAATTAAATATATTAATAGTTTCTTTTAATTAAATAAAAATTAATGACTTGCCTATCTCTCTAATTTCTAACTCGTTATAGTTTTTACTTATCTAATTAATATATCTATCTATTTTTTAAGTAGTTATAACTTATATAATTATTATGAGATTTTCTAATATGTGCCCTAAGAGCACATATAAAAAGTATTAATTAATCATAATTATTATCAAAATTAAATATTAAACACATTAATTATAAAAAATATTACCATAATTAAATATAAAATTCATTAATAATCTTCATAATTAATTTATTTCTATATTTAATTATGGTAATATTTTTTATAATTAATACTTCTTATATGTATCATTAGGGCACATATTATAAAATCCTAATTATTATTTAGCAAATTTCCGTTAAAGTCTTATTATTTTAACTTTAATTTACAAATAAGTACCAAAGTAAAATTTATTTACAACAAAATATTAATTATCAATAAAAGTAACGATTTGATCATTTTTTTCATGTTTATCAGTTTCATTGCAGACCTAAATGCATTAAAATCCCATTATGTTATCTTAATTTACACGACAAAAAAACGTAACCTTTAGCGGTGACACAAATTGTCGCAATTGATGTCCCTTTTCGTCGCTAAAGTTATTAGCGACGAAATGCCGTCACTAAACGGACATTGCTATTACCTCGTAGCTAATACTCGTTTGTCGTCGCAATGCGTCGTCTCTAATACTTATTTGTCGTCGCTGTTGACGTCATCTCTATTAAAGGACACAGGCCGGAGTTTTTCCGGCAAAGTTTCACGGAGTTATTGATCGTCGCAATTGGTCCTTGTCGTCCCTAAAGGTGTCGCTGCTAATGTTTTTTTTTTTTTTTAGAAAAAACATATTTTTTATGGTATTAGTTTTTATATATTATAAAATGCATATTTTATAAAATAAATAAATACATACCATATTAAATAAAACATCAAACATACCATATTACATAAACTATCTAAGAAAACTTAAATAAACATCTAATATATCATCCATAAATATCTAATAAATTCAAAATAACATCATCCATAACATAAAAAGAAGAAATCCTACATGTTTTCGTCTTCCTCATCGTTGTTTTCCTCATTGTTGACTTGGTTTTTAAACGAGCGAATAATGTCTCTAATGGCCGTCACAAATGTCGGGTTGTGAAGAAAAGTTTTAACATTAACATCCTACAATTAAGTCACAAGCAAATCAAGTCATTAACAATTCAACAAACTGTCAAACCATCAAAGCACCAAATGAATTAAGTCGTTAACAATTTAACAAACTATTAAGTCGTTAACAATTTAACAAGTACCTGTGTTGGTTGCGGTGCTTGTGACTGTGATTGCCATTGGGATGAAGTACTTGTACCCGCAACTGAAAAAGGTTTAGGACCAATGCCTCTCACATGCCCCCTTCGTGTACCCTACACATTCTTAAATATTGCGATCCAATCAATGGTTTCTGGATCACTATTAGAGTCGGCTATGTGATGAGTCTGTAGAGCAACCTCAGCAACTAAGACATTTTGTATTTTACAAAGATTGTTAATATACGTTAAAACTAACAAAAAAACCCAACAATTTACTTCATTTTTAATAAGTAATAACTTACATATTTGTCTTCAACCAAAGGATCAACAAATTCGTCTTTTTTATTCACATGCGCACGATGAAATGCTTCAAATCTATTCAAATTCTGTTTAACATTACAAAATATGTTATACTTGAATAAACATTAAAAAATATGTTATAACTGAATAAGCATTATCGTAACGTACTTTCTTAAAACAAGCACTATCGTAGCTGCACGTCCCTTCACGATTCTTAACTACTTGCTTCTTACGAATTTTTTTGTTTCCAACGGAGCGTTTTTGATGTTTTTCTGTTAAGAAGTGGTCAATAGCAGCATTTCAATGTTGTAGATCCATACCAGTAGGGGCTTGAGCCCTTGCTGCCTCCACATCCCCTATAGAACCAGTCAAACGATATTTTTCAACATTTTTGCGGCCTCTATATTGTGCACATATCTGATTGTTCAGTGGCGCCCAGTAAGTTGTAGTCATGGGATCATTTGTAATCGCTCCAAAATCAAACCATGTCTACAAAAGAAAATAGAGAAATTTAAAATATGTCAAATTAAAAAATATTAAATATATCACTTTATAAATAATTTACCGAAAGATATTGGAACATGCAAACCCTTTCAGCTTTAGAAACATCATTCCATGTTTCCTTATCAAAACCGATGTCCCGCCACATATAGCTCCCAACCTCCCGAATGAAACATTCGTATACCTCCCCAATCGACATGTTAGTATTTATGTCGAATATTATCTTCAGAGGCTAGTCACCATTAGCTTTAAATAGTTTGTGCATTTTTTTATTTACCGCCATCCTCTTCGTCTCGGAGGCACCGCTACATAAAAAATATTAGTCAAAATAATTTTTTATATACATACAATATAAAATACAATGAAATAGAATAAATCTTAATTACCATCCTTCTGGTGATCACCAAAACGTCCACCGAATGGATGTGGTGGCTCATCACCACCGTCTCCTCCATGACCCATCACAGCAGCCATGAGATGGAGCAATACAATCCAAAAAAATGACATACTGAAAAATTATAACACAATATGAAATTATATACATATAATACGATATGATTACAACAAATACAAACCTTATTTCACTAGCCAAATGTAAAGATTTTTTAATCATTCTCGCCCTCAGACACTTCAATGTCTTCTGACACATCACTATCATAATCAAAATCTTCTTCATAATAATTAGTCTCACAATCAGAGACATTATTGATGATACTAGTTGGTGGGTCAACTTAAATATCATCTTCAACCAATTGAAAATTTTGAAAGTACCAGCTAAAGTCGATTGAGAGAGTGAAATTAGAAGAAGCATTACTAAGAACGACATCGGTTGAATCATTGTCGACATTTTCAATGGGAAATATGAGTTGATCTTCACTACTCAATTCGCGTTGTGGGTCGATACTAGTCAAATTATTATTATATTTAACTCCTGCAGTATCGAACCACTTGCAATGAAAAGTACGATGGAATATTTATGAGGATAAGGCAACTCGATAATCTCTTCTAGCTGACCATAATATTTCTGCTTATTCTATCCCTCAGTTAGAACTCCCTGAGTTTTGTGTTGATCGTTGGGCGTTACGCATAAGTACCATAAACCTAACACCATTCACTATACAAGCGGTGTAAGTAAAGGCATTCACATACGCACCGATTGAAAGAGCCGTAACTCCTTGTTAAACTCTAGAGATTTTTGTTTTTGCATATCATAGACCTTATGAAGGAACCATTTAGGGAATTCAGTTTTTTCATCAATTTCAGGATGTAATGATTTGAATTCACTACATTGATGAAAAAAATATATATTTAGTAAAAAAAATGAGAAATTTAAAATAGACAATGAATTAAAAAATAAGCACACTTACGCAATATACTTTCTGACTTTCTCACAACTATTAAGTACAAACCAATGTAGACATTTTCTCTCCTCTAGACTGAGATTTTTCATTTTCTCTGCGCCATCCAGTCAACACTTAGACTGAAACACCCATAACTTTGTTTCTTCTATGACAACATCCTCATTTCTTTTGAGGCGATTGAATCGAGTCTCGACATCTTCAAGGTACGTCGAACAAAATGATAATACCTCTTCAGCGACATACCCCTCAGCTATAGAACCTTCCGGCCTCGTAACATAGTTTTTTAGCTTTTTTATATACCTTTTGAAGGGATACATCCATCTCATACATACCGGACCTCCGAAAATAGCTTCATCAGGTAAATGCAAAACTAAAAGAAGCATAATCTCAAAAAACGCAAGAGGATAGATCACTTCTAATTTGCAGGATATTTTAATAATGGTTGGTTTCGCTTCTTTCATATCCTTCACTGATAGTGTTCGTGAGCAAAGTTGCTTAAAAAACATACAAAGGTTTATTATTGGTGTATAAACACCTTTGCCCAAAATTCCTTTAACTCCAATGGGTAACAAAGGTTACATAAGAATGTGATAATCATGAGATTTCAACCCAATAATGTGAGTATTGGTTTCATTCACTTTCTTACCGATGTTAGATCCAAACACATCTGGCATTTTCACATTTCTTATAAACTTACAAAATCGAATGTGGTCAGGTTTCGTGAACGAGTAAGGTGGATGGGGTTTAAGGAAATTATTGCCAATCTTTTTCAACCATTGACTTTTACGAATGTTCAGTTTTGTCAGGTATGCCCGAGCATTTTATGTGTCTTTAGAGTCATCATTCATTCATCTTGTTGTGTTACAAATAAGTCCCAAACTAAATTTTTTTTATGAATAAACTTGAATTATAGGTAAAAATGATGATTTGAGCTTATCTCGTTAAACACAAATTTTATTGGTTTTATTATTGTTAGCATATCTGGTCATTATGAGTTGATGAGATAGATATTATATTTAATGGTAAATGTAGCATTATATAACTTATCATATCTATCTCATTAGTTCATTTAATGACTAGACGTCGATGTCAACAATGAAATTATTAAATGTATGTTAAAATGAGAAAATGATTAAATCATCATTTTTACTGGTAATTAATGCATCGGGTAAACAAATTTATTGTGGGACTTATTCGTAAACAAATGATCAGATCATCATTTTTACTGGTAATTCATGTATTTTCATAAACAAATTTATTGTAAGACTTGTTCGTAAATTAAAGTAAAGTAATGGGACTTTAATGCATCCAGTTTAGAAAGGAAATCGGTAAATCCTGAAAAACATGCCAATTCGTCATTTTTACGTAATTCATGTTTTTTTTTTGTAAATAAATTTTCGTTTAGAACTTATTCATAAAATAGGATAAATAATGAAACTCTAATCGAGATTTCCCTTATTATAATAAACTGATTATAACGGTTCATGTGTTTTACAAAAAATCACACGTTTAATTCTTAATTTATTTATGACGATGGTCCATGTAATTTCATTTTGTTGCGTTGTTGGTCTCTGACCGAGATAAAATGATTGAAATACCATTTTCACATTTTTTTTCATTATTGTTATATATTTAATTTAATTCTTAAAAAACATGGACCCATCATAACCTCAAATCCTAAATTGCTTTTCTTTTTCTCATATACATTAGACAAAAAAAAACTCACCACTTTCTCATTATTCTCCGTATTAGACGACACCTTCCTACTCTATCACATATGAACTGCACCGCTTACTCCCTTTTCCACATTCTACTACCCCCATCGTCTTCTTTTCATTCTTGATCATAAAATACAAAATCGGAAATACGTGGACGAACATCTCCACCCACCACCACCCTTTTTCCACCTTCATCTTCCCGTATCACCTCCCTCCATATCTAACATATCATCTCTCTTTCCGCCTCCCACTCATTATCTTCATCGACCCCCCGATAACTTCCAACACCCAATATAAATTCATCATCTCTCTAATCACTTATAACCAACTCGATCAATCATAATGAAAATAATGTCATTGGTTAATCACAGCCTCTCACCCTCTTTCACTCTTTTCTCTGTCCTAATGGTGTTGAATGAGACCCCATTGTGGTCTTTCTTCTCTTTTTCCCATCAATGTTGAACAAGACCGCCCAATCTCGTCTCTCTTCTCTCTTCACTCTTTCTATATGAGTTACGCATGAGATATCATTTTCCTATATATTTTTAAAATTTAATGTGTTAAGTACATTTCTTAAGTATCAAATATTTATATGATAATGGTTAGATCTTGGATTGTGTTATACATCATACAGAGAAACTATTTTTTAGTTCCCCTGGAATACAACCATATTGTTTCTCATATTTTGGTGTTCTCTTGTCGAACTCTTGCAATTGAAGAACAATGTTTGTTTTGCTAGAAACCTCCCTACAAAGGGATGTTGCTATTTTTTGGCATGCTCAGTGGGATCATGGATGATATCCTCTTAAAAATGGGTAGCATAATGATAATGTTGCTATTAGTTCGATGTTACATTGGAAAAAATCGATAATTAAATGCTAATACTAGTATTGCTATTCTTGTATCCTAAATGTGGTGTTATTAATGTTTGTCTTACTTTGTGGATTCAAGATTTTCATTTGGTGCTAGAAAATTGGATCTAATTTCTCAAAATGATAAATATGTTTATTGGTGTTGTTTGTTTACATAAGTAAATGTTCGTCTATTTTTCCATTCAAGTTGAGGTATACTTCATTAGAAAGCTCAAAATTTTATCCTTAGTGCTGACTAGTTTTACGGTTTCCTTTTTCTTGTAATTTTTATGGTATTTATCTGTATATGTAAGAATTTTTCAACAACGTTGATGATTACAGATGTAAAAAATAAACACAAAGATCAAGTTTGGGAGTGCATATTTGTGACATCCCAGAATTTAGGTCAAAAATTGTAGACTGTCAATTCACCACGAACCTCTTTCGAACCTGACATATTGAGCTTTAATGCATATTTTGAAAAATAAATAGTGTCATTGCAAGTAAAATAAAATATGAGATGGTATCTTACTTCCATTGGTGGAAAATCTTAAACGAATCATACAACTCAAACTATAACCCTAGTTAATACGTCTGTAAAACTGAAATTTTTTTTAAAGCTGTTGTGGGCAAAGAAAACATGTTAATCTCATAGTACATGTCCACTTGAGTCCGAAAATATAAAGAACATCCAAAACGGATTTCAAATACAAAAGATATGACCATTATAAGAAAACAAACCAATGTACTACTAATTTTCTTTAAACTACAAAAACCGTTTCGATCCATTGAGGTACTTGCACACCTCATATGGGAATTCCAAGAACATCTTGTGACTCAGGTTATGATCAATTATTTAATTCTATACTCGAAATAGTTTTAGTAAAAATATTTTTTAAAGTTAAAAAATAAACATTTTGGGTCAAATAAACGCGATTTCCCAAAGTTCTACAACTGGAAAAATTAATTCGTTTGGGTTTTTGGAATACTTGAACTCAGATCTATCATTCGCCACTTTAGAAAAAAAATATTAGATGTCAGGATCTTGGCATGTATATATAGGAAGGTTTTATGGCATTTTTGAGAATGATGACATTACTAGGCCCTACCTTGCTTGCTTGAATGATAAAAAAAATCAACCATTTTTCCTTCTTTTTCCCCTGACCTACGTCCCTATCACCCTCTGACCCCTTTCACCTTACCTTATTGTGAACTTGTTCAAAAAGTACCAAGCATAGGTTCATTAGTGCATTTGACTAACTAAGAAAG